GCCTTCCAAACCTGGCTTGCCATTACTCTTGAGCGCAGAAGCCAGTTAAGAGAGGAAAAGGGGGGGAAAAAAAACGAAAAAGAAATTTTTTTTTAAAAAAAAAGAAAACCCCATGCCAAGAAAAAAACCTGAAAAGACAAACAAATCTGAATACGTGTCCAGCAGTAAAATTTGGAACTAAACCAACAAGCCAGCAGGTGAGATGGAATTGAGAGCTCTAGCAGTGTGAGGGCAAGTCTACTTACTGTCCTTGAAATGGGAATCACACTGAAGTCAAGGTTAGATGTGTACAAAGTAATGACAAACAGAACAGCAGTGCTAATTGCATAGCATTCAAAGAGATGGAGAATAAAACAGAGGTGGATAGCGTGCTGCTACCTGTGCCTTATTACTTAAGGTAGCAAGATACACTCTTACCTGCTTGATTTGGCACCGTGGAGGTACAGCAAAGCTGACCCACATAGCAAGTTTCCAAATGAGTTTTCATTTGTGGCAGACAGCCTTTCCCTAAAACTCGCAGAGTTGTGTGTTATCGCACGCAGCTGAATAGCTTCTGCAATTTGGACAAACTCATTCTTAGCTAGCTCAGCTGGTTTTGCATTATGTTGCCTTTGTCGTCCATCTAATCACCCCAAGAGGATTAACAAGAGGCCACAGCCTGTCAGGATCGATAGTAGGGAAACAGAAGTGGAAAAAATATGGCAAATCACTGACCAGTGGTGCCTGGTTCTGTACTAACAGCTAGGCTGCTGCCTGTCTTACAAGGCAAAATATGCTTGGAAGGGTGAAAATCCCACCTAGCAAAGCTTTCTCATCCCATTTCTGTCCTCGGAGCTGAGACCAGAGCCAATAACCAGGCTGTTGCCATCTCTGTTACCAACAGCAGGAGCATCTGGAGGTTTCTCAGCACACTCCTCACCGTTAGTCCACCATCTGAGGCTCTTGAGTGGCCATGGATGTGGTCTGTCTTGTCTGCAGCAAAGATCCAAACTGTCCTGTTGCAGACAACTGTTTAGCGAGGGATTATCTGGGGTTTGTGGAGTTTATAGTTATTTGGCCATTTACCTTACAAATTCTCTGATGGTATTTCTTAAGAAAGTAATTCTGGGGAAAAAGAAGTATTGTCTTCTTCAAGTATGCTGGAGTCTGTAATAACACTCGCATGTCACATCTTTTTTCCTTCTTGCACTCATCTTTTAGATATTCCTGCCATTTAGATACAGAGATAATTTTATTCAGAAGGGGCAGCCTTGGCAGAAATCTCACGAGGAAAGCAGCCGGGAAGCCACTCTGACAAGTCTTTAAAACAGTGTATACCCCATCTGCCATGATCAGATCACCGTTTCACAACAGATCATTGCTTGTTGTATTAAGGTAACCCAGGAAGCAGGATTCATCCCTCATTTCAGCTGACTTTCACAGCATATTCATTTACATTCTGATTTGCTCTGTGTTTGGTCATTTTTTTGTTAGTTGTGTTTTGATTGTTTGGGGTTTTTTTAACTCCTTCTCTGTCAACTTCAGAAAGACCAGGACCTTTTCATTTTGCCATGCTCCCAAAAATATGCAGTTGGGTGAATTTGGCCCTGGTTCTCACTGGCTGCTGGATAATAAAGACCTCTTGGCCTCTTGCCAAACCCCAAGCCATCTCATTTTTAATCCCGAATCCCTGCTGCCTACATGTCTTCTGCATGTCTTCTAGCCCAAAAAGAAACTATGCAGCATTCCCCAATCTGGCATCTGCTTTTCCTTGAAAGCCAGAGATTCTTCCTTCCTCCTCTTCTAGGTCTGGGAGCAGCAGAAATGTTATTTTCTGTCTTGCCAGAGAAGGGCACATCATCTCTTTTTCTGTAAAAAAAAAAAAAAGGCTTTTAGAAAACTTGGGAGTGGAGGTGTAATTCAAGTTTCGTATCTCACTTTGAACCTCCAGGGATGTAGGAGAAGTTCCAGTCTGAGAAAAGCCATGCTTTCCTTTCCCAGGTTCCCACCTCCTCTGTTCTTTACACTTACTGAGACATAAACTCAGGTAATGGCTGCTGCAAAGGGCCAGAGGAGGTGGGAAGCAGCCAGGAGAGAGGTACAACACCTCATTAGGATGCTAACACTGGAGTCAGAGGTGACAGTGCTCTGGGCAAGGCTCCAGGTCTTGCTGGCACAGTCTAGCTGTTGTTAGAAAGAGCGAGCGTTAGCAGCCTGAGTCAGACTCTCCCTCCTGCCCCAGTCCTTTCTGCTAATATTTATTAACTTGACTGTTTCAATATTAAAGACCCAACATAGTTGAGCTCTGATTCAGATTTCTTGGTAATAACCACCCCAAAGCATAACATGTCTCCTCCCAAGTGAACAGAAGTCTGTGGAACATCTTTGTCCCTGAAGGAAACAGGGGAATTTGCTGACAAACCATCCTGGCTGCCTTCATGTTCTTCCTTCTCCTTGTCCTGTGGAAACAGTGTTAGCAACACTTTCCATGGTGCCTTGCCTCAGATCACCTCTCTCCTTGGATGCTCTCTTCTGAAAGGTGGAAGATGGGTTATTGGAGCAGCCCCGAGCCCCTGCTCACCTCTGGGAAGCAGGGCAGTTGAAAAGAAAACCAGTTATGTGGGGCTGCAGGTGATCTGCTCTGCAGTAATGATTTTTCACTAGGTAGGAAGGTCTCTCATCCTGGTAAAACAACTTGCAGTGTTCAAGCTTGTTCATTCTTGAGGAAGCTGGTGCCCTGGTTAGTCTGTCCTGTGCAGGTAATAGCAATGCTTTTAACACAGCATCTCCTGACAAAGAACTACACATTTGGGATATCTGTTTTTCTTAAGCAGATGCAAGTTTGCACTCAGCGAGCTTGTCTTTGCAATTACCACACCAAATATGTCCACATAACCATAAAATGCTGCATACCCTGGGATTTCTTCTGCTGCTTAGTGTAACGAACATGGGCAAATAGTGAAGTCAGGCTTAAACTGCAGTTTAGGTGAATATATCATTTAGCCAGCAGACCTGTCAATAGGACTTAGAAGTCTTGGACTGCCTGGAGACATTTATGAGTTACAGATCCTTACATCTCCCTGAACCACAGGTTTTTGCAGTGCTGTGGACAGCTGGCCAGGTGGGATGCTCCCTGATGGGTTCGTCTCTGACACCTCATCTGTCTGCCCATCTCCATCCCAGTCCTGCCCTCCTTCAGTCATCCACACCTCTCTCTGACATTTCTGCATGCATTTATATGGTTTTGTCCTATCAGTCCAGATCCATCCCCACAGATGCCAGCAGAAAATTGCTGCTAGCCTTCATAGGGTCAGCCTCTCAGCAGCCCCTGCATTTGGGAAGTTAGCCTTGGCTTTTGCTGAAGTCAGAGAGCGCCAGACTGAGCCTTAGAGCCTGGAATCACATTTCTAGGCTGTTACATTGACTTGTTGATCACACATAGGGAGTTCATAGAATCATAGAATCATAGAATGGTTTGGGTTGGAAGGGACCTCAAAGCCCATCTAGTTCCAACCCCCCTGCCATGGGCAGGCACACCCTCCACCAGACCACGTTGCTCAAAGCCCCATCCAACCTGGTCTTAAACACTTCCAGGGATTCAGGGGCAGCCATAACCTCTCTGGGCAACCTGTTCCAGTACCTCACCACTCCAACAGTAAAGAATTTCGTTCTAACATCTAATCTAAATCAACCCTCCTTCAGCTTAAACCCATTCCCCCTTGTCCTGTCACTACAGTCCCTGATAAACAGTCCCTCACCATCCTTCCTGTAGGTTACGAAGTCTTTCTTCACAATCTGTTATGTAGAGTGAGGTCGGTAATTCTTTCCCAGCGAGCAGAACACTGGTGATTCATTGCTAGTTTCGGTCGGTGTCTCAGTGATAGAGGATGGCAATATCTACAGAAGCGCTGAGCTTGCTAAATCAATTTTGCAAACTGTGCACGAGAGAACACACGAGAGGTACTGAAAGAAGGAAATATTCTCACTTTTGGATACATCCACTGACTGCCACCATGGAACCTGTGCCTTCCAGGGTTTTCCCAAGGCAGCACAACCTGTCAAAGAAGCCCCAGAGACTTACAGTTGGAAGCGAGCACCTGCTCAAGTCGAACGTCCTAAACATAGTGATTTCATAGAGCAACATCAGCCATAGTGACCTGCTAGAGACAGAAGAGAGCAGGGAGTCTGTGGTGAGGGTGAGGAGGAGAAGAGCCAGCCAGTTAAACACAGGTTTCTGTGAAAAGTGAGATCAAAATATCAAAGATAAAATAGTGATGAGTTTAAAGGAGATGAGGAAAACAGATAAGGAAAAAACAGATTGAGATGATGAGGAAAGTGGGCAGGAGAAGACCAGATTTTGCATTGGAAGATAAACTGGACTTTCTTACTTTGGGGGAAGTATGTCAGAAGAGAAACTCAAATTCGAAAATGAGACATTTTAGAATTATGCTGACACTTTTCATGTCAATATAACTAGTGCTATTTGATACAGTAATGGTTTTTCTGTTTTATGAATGTGATTCACTGCATCCCAGATCATGAGGGACTTTGTAGCTGCTGCCTGAATAATCTTAGTCCATACATAAAAATTGAATTATTAAAAAAATAGGCAGCTCTTGGACAACACTGAGGGGAATACGGGATGTTTGTGTGAAGCCTTTTATGGATGATGGCATTCATCCACCAGCTATACAGCTCTGTAAATGTATTTGTACAACTCACAAGTATGGAGTACATAGGATGACCTCTGCCTATATGGGGAGGGCAATGCTGTGAACCTGTTTGCCTCTCTGCCTGTGTGGGAGAGAACACACGCAGATATACTTACAGCTAAGTAAATAATTATATATAACTGGTTTATACACCCAACTAATGCGCAGGTATAAAATGAGTGCCAGGAAATGATCCTGCAGACCTAATATATAATATAGCTGATGGTTGTTATGGGATTAATCATATCCATACTGTAAAAGGTAGATTGCAGACTAATTCTTGGTTTTTTTTTCCTCCTTGAATCCTAGCAGAAAATGGACCCCGTCTACTTGTGGTAGCAGAGCAAGCTAAAATCTTCTCACACCGGGGTGGCAATGTCACACTGCCATGTAAATTTTACCATGAACACACATCAACAGCTGGCTCAGGAACCCACAAAATCCGGGTCAAGTGGACCAAACTCACCTCAGATTACCTCAAAGAAGTGGACGTCTTTGTTGCAATGGGACACCACAGAAAGAGCTACGGAAACTACCAAGGCAGAGTGTTTCTGAGGGAAAGCAGTGAAAATGATGCCTCTCTCATAATCACAAATATAATACTGGAGGATTACGGGAGATACAAGTGCGAGGTGATTGAAGGATTAGAGGACGATACAGCAGTTGTAACTCTGAATTTGCAAGGTAGGTAACATCTGAATTATACTTACATTCAGATTTGCCTGGTGTTAAGGAATACCTGCTTTTTTCTCCTACTACAGCTGGTATTGTATTATCAGTGATAACAGCAAGCTGAGAAGTGGGATTCATTGTGCTCTGGGGATCTTGATCATAAATTAAAAGAACATTAAGACTTCTATAACTTATGCTAGCCTACCGCATATTCAGCTCCCAGTGAGACCTGATGTGAGGGGAGCTGAAATAGTATGACCAAACATAGTACGAAGAACTCCATATGTTTTTAATTTGCTCCTATCACTTTACAGAAGTGCATGCTTTTACAGTAGACTTAGAAAGAATTATATTAAATATTTCCGTAGTAGCCACTTTACAGAACTTCAGGACATTTTAGATTATCAAGCAAGTACAAATCTTCTTACAAAGATGAAAAATGTTAAAGTACTTTTCCAGATACATTGGTTTTGGTTTTTTCCAGCCTTACAATTATATAAAATAGATCTCTACATTGCCTGCCAAGACAACTCCTACATGTAGTCTGTAGTCATTTCCCTCATTAATATTCTTGAAAAAAGTAGAGTACAAAGCATTAGAAAAATTAGTGAAACAGGTTTAAAGAGGACCAAAAATTCAGCTTTCCTTTACTTTTATGAGACTCAGATAAATTTTATGAGATTCAATGTTGGTAAGCCAGCATTTGGTCTTTTCCCCCAAAGCCCTGCACTGAACTCAGC